ATTGAACCAAGATGAAATAGTAAACCTGAACAGACCAATAACATGTAATGTGATTGAAGCACTAGTCAGAAATCTTCCAACAAAGAAAAGCCATGACTGGATGACATCTAGTCAGCATTTAAAAATATATCATCATTATATTGCACATCTCTAGCCTGAATGCCAGACTTATATACCCAACTGCTTACTTGACATCACAGTTAGATACCCATTAGGTGTCTCAAACTTACATTGACAATCAAACTCCCTACTAATCTTCCTAATCCTAATCCTATTCCATAGACTTTCCTATGTAAGTCAATGGTGACTTCATCCTGACAGTTGCTTGGCAACAACCATTACAGTCATTCTTGACATGTCTCTTTCTCTCATATTCTACATCTTGCCTACCAACATAATCTATTAGCTCTACTTTCAAAACACATACCGAATCTGATCACTTCTTCCCACCTCAATTGCTACCACAGTGGTTCAACTACTATTATCTCTGTTCTGTATTATTGTATCCTGGATCCTGGCTGATCTACCTGCTCCACCCTTTTCCTCCATTCATTCTAGGCTCAACTCAGAAATGGAAATAACTTTTTAAAAGCATACACCAGAATAAGTCAGTCCTCTATTTCGACCTTCTGATAGTGTCCCACATCACTCAGAGTAAAGAAGGGCCATACTGGCATTCTTGCTATTCCTTGAGCATGCCAGCCCTACTCCTGCTGCAGGGCCTTTGCTAGAACTCTCTTTCCTTAGATACCCTCAAAATTGGTGCCCAGCCATATCCCCTTCATGTTTTTAACCAGTGTGATCTCACTGTGGCTTCTTCTGACCACTATGTTTAAAACTGCACCTACCCCTTCTCATCTTCACAACTCCATTTAATTCCCCTCTCTTTATTTTTACCTAGAGTAATTATCACAATTTGATACAATAATATTTTGCTCATATGAGTGTTTATTTTCTTTCTCCTGCCCCCAAACACACTCCTCCACATGCTAGTCTCTTTTTGTAACTTCTCTACTTCTGCTGTGGTAACATTTAGGCTATGTATATCAACAGTTTCTTTGCCCAGAAAACTAAATAGATGGTTCACTTCTTTGCATAAACCAGTTTATATTATATACACAGTATAAATGTATATGTTTTACTTTTGCATAATTTGTTTCCTTTTAACCTTAGAGAGACTCTGTTACCAAAGAGCTATAGAAAATTTCTTATTAAGTGGAAATAAGAACTGAAATAATATACCTCTGATGCACATGGATACAAATGGAAGTTGGAAGTCTCATGGCCTGGAATATTACCTTGACCTCATTATTAACTGATTTTGTGGTAACAACAATCCCTTAAACTGCCGGACACAACTGTCTCATCAGTAGTATAAAGGGGTAGCATTACATGATTTCCTAGTCTCACA